TGTGTTCCTCCATCTATTTACTCAAGCTCGCTAGGCAGATTATGCGTTGATTTCTCCCGTCTCTATTGCTTTCAATCTGTCCTGTGAGTATCAAATTTTCCAAGCCCTTTTTCCTCATTATGTGCCCCAGAAATTATAACCGTCTCTTCCTGATGTTATGTGTAGCAGTACTTGAGCGACTAAATCAAGGAAATTCTTATGAAATAATTTACCCCACATTTTACTATCATTGGATCTTCGTATGTGTACCGCGTCCTTTCAGAACATGGCCGATCATGCTTCTCCACAACTTCCTCCTTTTGGTATTCTAAATTACTCTAGCCTTTTTATTACCTCTTTTTGTCCTTGTTCTGTTATCTGTTGTTATCACACAAACATTTTGCTCGCTGTTTCGATCCTCTTGTCTGCGTGTATTAAATTCTCTAAGCCTTCTTTTCTCACAACGTATATCTGTGATATTCTCAGCATTCTCCATCTTGTCGTTTCTCCATCTGTGATTAAATTGTCCAGCATTCACTCTCAGAAAAGGGATTAGATAATACCTCTCAGTTTATTTTTCTTTGCTTTGTATCTAAAGACTTTTTCTATCTCTTAATACTTTGCTTAGTTTTCGAAGGCATATTTCCTTATTCTTTATCAACTTCCTTTTTTCCATGTTACACTTTCATCCCTCGGTTACTACACTACCTAGCTGATGAAACTTGTATTTCTGCTTGATTCTAACATCCCTAATACGTAGCTCTCAACTTGGACTGCCACTTTCGCTTACAACCATGCAATTTGCCTTCTTACAATTAATAGTTAGTCCTTTCTTCTTGCTATTCTCGGCTACTTTCGCCCTAATATTTCTTGTAGATTTCCTTCTGAATCTATCATTAGCACAGTGTCGTCTTCGTAGCGTGAGTTGGTATGGTTATGTCAGCCGATATTAAATTCTCTTGGAGTTGTATGTACTTTAGAATAGTCGCGCTGTGCAAGGTAAATAAATCTGCCAAAAACAAAAAAGAAAAATAAACACATTCCTGTCGTACAGTTCTTTCTCGTGTCTTATCTTATCAAATGACCTTTCGTAATCTCTACAACGTACATATAGAATGTTCTGCATTTCGATTGCTCCCACTGATAATATTATTACCATAAAATCTGTAATTCTTGTTCCATTTTCTTGAACAAAACCAATCTGCTCTACTCCTATTTCTACGAGGTCTATTCATTAGAGAATGATGTTTTAGTTATGTGACTCATAAAGCTGGTTGTTCCTTGAAAATCGCGTTTATTTGCAGTTGATTTGTTTGGCAGAGCTATTGTTATACTAGAACATACCTATTCTATTGTAAATAGACTCTCCTACCTATAGTAGTAGTAGCAGTCTCCAGGGAGCTAGTGAGTCAGTCGATGTCGGACATTAAAGTATCAACCACCACAACTAGATTGCTGCGTCATTCACTATTATTTCAAGTGCCTAACGTTTTGTACGTCGAACCCTTTTAGGACCGACTTAGTGAAAATACAAGCCTCCACTGTGAAAGGTATTCTACAACAGCTATGAAGAGAGATCTTCTGAGGTCTTCCAGTATTTCACCTCTCTCATATACTTCTTCTAACGCTGCAGTAATGTTCCTAACCTCGTTTATGACAGTTAGTATTTTTTCTACAACATTATCTAGAGCTGTTGCGTTTTTCTCGTTTCATCCTGACTACGGATTTTAAGTTTCTCTTTTCTGATCTCTTCGGAAAAGAAAATCTCCGCCATTTTGATCCCATCTCTGTAGTATTTTTTTCTATAATATTTGTTCCCTCTCTAGATTTCATACGGCTTCCCGAACAGCAGATTTTCTAGTCTGTTATTTCTATTGTCATGTTTATTCATGCCTAATACGTCTGTGTTCTGTAGTTATTCATCTCTGCATAGTTCTCATTGAACCATTTATCTTTTACTTGCCAGAAAATATTTCTGATGTTTCCAACGAACATCATATATTCGGTGCCATTTCTCTGTTTTTTCGCTTTCATTAGATAAATAATTTCCCTATCATCCAAGTTTTTCTTTCATTCTTTCCATAGGATGGCTTCTTTGGCTGCTGTCCTTAGAGATTTCCTTAAAGCGTTCTACTTTGAGATTCTGACCTTTTCCAATGTTTTATATTTATTCTTAACTGCAACTGCATATGTTTGTTTGAAGATTTGATCAATCTTTAATACTACACTTAATAGATATATGACTGGGAGGTGATCACTCCCGCCGTCAGCGCTTAGGTAATTTTAGTGTGCAAGACTATTTGTAAATTGTGGATGTTTATATAGTCTATTTGGTTTTTTGATACTTCCTGTCGTGGTTTCCATCTCCACAAATGTATTTGGCATTATTTAAAGGTTGGTATTTGCTATTATTTGTTACGACTGGTTTTTTTTTTAGTGTGCAAGACTATTTGTAAATTGTGGATGTTTATATAGTCTATTTGTTTTTTGATACTTCCTGTCGTGGTTTCCATCTCCACAAATGTATTTGGCATTATTTAAAGGTTGGTATTTGCTATTATTTGTTACGACTGGTTTCTTTTTTAGTGTGCAAGACTATTTGTAAATTGTGGATGTTTATATAGTCTATTTGGTTTTTTGATACTTCCTGTCGTGGTTTCCATCTCCACAAATGTATTTGGCATTATTTAAAGGTTGGTATTTGCTATTATTTGTTACGACTGGTTTCTTTTTAGTGTGCAAGACTATTTGTAAATTGTGGATGTTTATATAGTCTATTTGTTTTTTTGATACTTCCTGTCGTGGTTTCCATCTCCACAAATGTATTTGGCATTATTTAAAGGTTGGTATTTGCTATTATTTGTTACGACTGGTTTCTTTTTAGTGTGCAAGACTATTTGTAAATTGTGGATGTTTATATAGTCTATTTGGTTTTTTGATACTTCCTGTCGTGGTTTCCATCTCCACAAATGTATTTGGCATTATTTAAAGGTTGGTATTTGCTATTATTTGTTACGACTGGTTTCTTTTTACAAAACTAAACAAACAATTACGAAAATTCGTTAGAAACAAAGAAAACAGCGCTGAACTGCTATATAGTATGAACGCCAGTGAAAGCTGGACAATATGCTCCCAGATGAAGAAGAGACTACAAGCAACACAAATGCTGTTCTACATAAGAATGCTGATGCAATGAACTGAGAATTTGAATAACGATTAAGTTTTAAAGCTAATGAAAACGAAAATTAGTTTTATACTTAGAATAAAAAATGGGTAGATGAAATATCTAGGCCATAATGAAGAAAGAGGGACTGGAGAATTTGAAACTCAGAGAAGGTACAAGGCAAGAGCGATAAAAGAAAGCGACGTATGACTTACCGAAAGATCTTGTGTAAATGGATGGTAGAACATGGACATGGAGGGAAATCTAAAAGAGAAACATTGCTCGGGGCTGCTAAGGAGAGAATATTGTGGAGAGCCATGATCTCACACGCCCTGAAGGTATACGTCACATAAAAGACGAAGTTGTGGACATTGATAACAGCATTAGATGGAAAGATTAAAAAAAAAAAAAAAAAAAAACACTTCGAGTTCGAGGAAAAAAAAAACCGGACGCATCCATAGTAAGTCGATTTATTGTATTTTTACCAAGACAAGTGAATAATAGAATTTGTTTATTAGCACAGAGTATTAATACAGGTGTACATATATACAATAGACAAGTAAAAAATGATTTAGTATTTTGTTGGGTAACCTTTTGCTATAATAACGGCCTGAATACTTCATGGCACGCTATAGACTAAATTCTTTAATAAGGCAACGTTCTTGGCCAGATTTTTCCAGTATTTCTTTAATTCGCGAAAAAGCTCATCTTCTGTGTTAACTTTCCTATTACGGGCACGCTTGTCCATTATCACCCAAAGATTTTTAATTGAGTTAAAGTCAGGACTCTGACTAGGCCACTGGAAGAGATACAATTTTCCTTCATCGTGTTTTCTCTCTAGATAACATTTATTCTTTAAGGCAGTATGCATAGGATCGATATCGTATTGGAATGTGAAGCGTTGATCTTCGACAAAAAAGTTTTATATCAGAAAGCCACATTTGATTAAGAAGAAAGTAGTGACATTGATGCTAGTCCATGATTCCTTTGATTTTCTACAAATTACCAACTCCTGCTGCTATTACTCACCTGTCTTGGTAAAAATACAAAAATCGACTTTCTATGGGTGCGTCCATTTTTTGCCTCATACTGTACTTATAACGGGAAGAGTACAGAAGATGTTAAGTCATTTGCTATCACTTCATCTTTACTGTTACTTGACAAGTACTTCAGGCATGAAGCTATAATAATAATAATAATAATAATAATAATAATAATAATTTAAAAAGGAAATAGAGTGAACAGAGTAATGAATAAATCACAGAATTGCTTGACCAATTATTCTTTCTTGTATCTTCTTGTAAAACCGGTTTGAATGAATGTTTGTTAGACTTGTATATACACAACATTCCTTTTGTTGGGTTTCTTTTGTTTGTTTTTTACGTTGTAATGTCTATGAGATAAAAAACAACTGAAAAAAATACATATTAAGGAAAAGTAAAAGAAAATCGAAAACTTCGAGAAAAGAGGCAATTAAAAAGATAAAAATAACAGGACAGAGAGAGAAAGAGAGAGAGAGAGAGTGAGGAGTGGACAATAGAGCGGCAAACACTGAGAGGAGGGGGACCAGAGAGAAAGAAAGAAACGTAGAAGAGAACTTGAGAGAGGGGGGAAATTTGAGAAAGTGAAAAAAATTGGAGAAGAAATAACATGAGATGAATTGATTGATTCATTCATATTCTACGGCTTATCAACCCTTCGCTGGTTATTTAAAGCCAGAAAATATTTTCTTTTTTTTTAGATCCTAATAATTTTTTTATGATTTAATGATATATGTCTTACTAATTAACCCATTGCTGGGAGGAGAAGATATACATTTGTATCTTTCCCATTTATCCATTACACCACATCCAAGCTTACATCGTATTCCCAAGCCGTCATCGATCTAGGTACTGACCAGGTTCGACGTTGCTTAACTTCGGCGATCATAAGAGAATCGGTGTTTCAAAGTGATGTGGCCGTAAGTCAACGAAAAGGAGAAAGTGGGGGAGAATGAAGAGGAAAACAGAGAGAAATAAAATGATTGAGCCACGACGAGAGTGAAGATCGAGCGTGGTTATGGTTAATGAGCTATTCTTAGTGGTTAGTCTTCATAGCTGCTCACTGCTTAAAGATTTGTGTCAAATTTCGCTAAGCTTAACAACAGTGGCGAAAATCAGTATTCGAGACTAGATTTTTAGACAGTATTTCAAGTGTTGCATTTTCTAGCCAACATCGCAAATTTGTAAAGTTGGCAGAGCAAAATCTTATTCTATTTACTCTTGTATAATTTCATCTTGAAATGAACGAAGCTAAACTTAAAAAAAATAAGGGAAAAAAGAAAACAAGAAGAGTATAAAAGAAAGTGGGTGTTGTGGTAGGATCCACCTAATTTGCATAGTAGAGTACCGACCATATAAATATGGTTGGTACCGGGAAGAGAGGGAGGAATCAAGAGATTCAACAAGAGACTCTGCCCGACTGCGACTCAGTCAACACATTCTCCAGGAACGGTCTTACCAGGAATATACAAAAGACTATATGTAAATATTGTGTACACTTTCTTGTTTCAATACATTTTGTTCTAAGTACATTTTGTGTTGCATTATTATTCCATGCATTAGTCAAGTTTCAACAGCGGGAGAAAGACAGAAAATAATAGAGAGAAAAGAAAAAAGGAAAACAGTGAGAAGGAGAGGAAGAAGAAAAAAAAACGAAGGAAAAAATATGGTGAGACAGACAGAGAAAAATGTTTTGAAGTGGGGTAATCGTTAATGAAACTAATCTCTTTTGGTCATTGCAACTGAGTAGCAATTTCGATCCTCACTAGGTATGCAACATTTTTATATTAAGTAACGTCATAAGGATTTTGATATGTCATAAAATCAGCTGACCAAACCCAATTAAGAAATATAGCCTGGTTTGTGGTTGAGATAGCTGTGCCTTATCTATAGGTCAGTGTATGAGTCAAGGTAAAATAAGTATTTATTGGCTGCTTTTCTGATAATTTCGATAAATTTTGTTTTCGAATGAAGGAGATTGAACGCGAGAAAATAGATGATTAAAGTAAAGAAAATGAAAGAGTTATAAAATTTTTTTAAAAAAATAGAGAAAGAGAAACAGATAGAAAGAGAGGGAACGAGGAAAAATCAGAAAATGAAAAACAAACGGAAAAAGAAAGCGAAATGAAAGAGAGAAAAGAGATGGCGAGGGAAGAGAGAAAAATAGGTTGCTTCGTTTGCCTGATCCAACGCAGGGAATTATGGGATAGTTTTGAAACACGCAATGTGCCGTTCACTTTATTGATGTTCAAGTACTTTCATAAGGTGTGGCGGTAATTTATATTGAATTGTGTCAGCAAATAAAAGCCTTCTCTGATGTGAGTGTATGTCAGCGAGGAAGCCACTTATTCCCACGTAGTCAAAATGCACAAGGCATAATACTTGTTATTTTAAACGTGGGAAAACACACATTTATATGTGGATTTGGTGCAAAAATACTACTCAGTTTTATCCGAATAAGCGTGTATAAGCCTGGATCAAACCTGGTGACGACTCTCCACATTCACTAAAGAATTACATGGAACTGGTTGTGAAGAAATATAGTTTTAATGTGTGCTATATTTATTGGATAAAGGGCTCAATATCAGAGATAGAGCGTGTGTAAATTGATTGCGTCTAACATAAAACAGGACTGTACCTTCTAAGTGTTGACTTCAATGTTCACTTTTATATTTACACACACCAAGTCTCTTTATTCGACCCCTTCAAAAAGTGTGTATAGTTCTGCATACCCCCCCACTATCAATAATCAATTCTCATGATGTCGAGCTATTGCTTCATAGGAACTGATCTGCTTGACACTCACATGTCAAATTCGACGGGATAGCTGACTATATATGTATGTATGTGTGTGTGTGTGTGCGCGCGATGGATAAGATGACGCAAAAGAGAAAATAACACTGACATCTAATTTTAACAAATTAATTTACTAAAATTGCACAAAAATATCTTGGAATGGTAAAAAGTATAATTATTCAATAAAATCGGCATTAGTTTCAACCGCAGGCTCCAGACGACTTCGGAACCTTCTGCAACTGTTTTGGACGGTCTCCTTGTTTAAGTAGGGTGGATGCTGCCATAATACTTGCCTTAGTTAATCTCTTGTGTTAAAAGGAGTTTTGCTGGTCTCTCGCTCAATTACGCCCCACACATAATAATCAATTGGATTGCGGTCTGGGAAGATGGGTGGCCAGATGTAATGGGTTATGTGGCTGCAGAAATTGTCTGGCAGCCATGACAGGATTCTGCACCTGCTTGTCTGGCATGGTGCAGAATCCTGTTGCCAGACATAGTGTCTTCCAGCAGCCACCCTCTTGACCCAGTGCAGCACTGTCTCCTCAGAGCACTTGATGTAGACTTCTGTGTTGAGTCTGAGGCCCTGTGGGAAGATGAATGGAGGCATAACGTCGCCATCACTAGTGATCACATCAAGCACCATGATGTTGATTGGTCATCCAACTCTTTCTGATTCTTCTGCACTCTCCTTGGATTGACTCTCAAATCTTCGTATTGGAGTTTCCGGCACGAATGCCAAACAGTAAAGCATGCCGTGCAAAATTTCTGGCGGAATGAATTTCGTCATAGTGTACTTTTTCTCACAGACGGTACTCAACTGACCCTACTATACATGTGCAGACGATAAAATAAAAAACGCGCGTGCGCGAAAATAAAAATATAAAATGGCATCAATTTACCCATCGAAACCTTTATCTATCTATCTATCTATCTATCTATCTATCTATCTATATATATATATATATATATATATATATATATCGAAATAAAAGTATAAAATTTAATATTACAAGACATATTATATTGGCCCGGTCTCACTCTTTATTTCATCTGAAGGTTCTGGAGGCACTTTACATCGGGTCCCGCAAGCCTTCATTGCGCAAACAACGTGAGTGTTTGTTGGGACTCGCTGTCATCTGTCTCTAGTTCCTTCTGCATATATATATATATATATATATATATATATATTGTTTTTTTTTTCCCACTTCCTTTATTGTACATTTTCGGTATTAATTTTGAATCTCCTGTTGAAGTCTGAAAAGCGGCAGGTTGCTTCCCCCCTGTTTGTTGTTGTTTTTTTTTTTTTTTTTTAATATGTCTTGTAATATTAAATTTTATACTTTTATTTCAATCATTAAATTTTGTACATACAAAAAAACATCTTTAAATATATATATATATATATATATATATATATATATATATATATATATATATATATTAGGGCTGCAACCTTTCTTTCAAACATATTTCGTTCAATATAACAGATAAGAAAAATTTGATGAATATTTTATTACGTCTTTCTCGTATTAAGATTTTACGTTTGGTCGGGATAAGAGAATATAAAAATTGTCCGTAATGACTATTGTCCCAAGCGCCTTTAGCCTCTTGTTCAGCCATTTTAAGTTTTTTTTTGTTATTTATTTCTTACCGTTATAATTTAAGATGTAATTTTGTGTTGCATGTTGTTTTCTAATTGTTATTAATAACACTATACATTTATATACAGCGTGTGTCATAAATACTTTTACAAAATTTTGGGGCGAGTTCCACAAGGACAAAAGCCTAAATAAAAATAAAGTTGGAGGAAAGAAATTTTCGAACACCATGAATTTTTTTTTAACTTAAAAGAGTTAGATTTTATAAAAGAATCCATACAAAATTTGTATACCATTGTATAATGCTGCAATATGCAAAAGTAATACAGAAACAGTACATTAATGAAATTAAAAAAATTGGTGGCGAAAAAAGTATTCGTACAAAATTATAATACCTATTTAATACTTTGTAGCATATCCCTTATACAATTCGACAGTAATTATTTTCTTTCTGTAGTTTTTAATCAGTTATTTGGAAGTTTCAGTTGGTATTTTATTTGGTTCTTCTTTGCATATTCTCTTTAGGTTCAGGATATTTTTCGGGGCTCTTTTATTAACTTGAATTTTTAATAAACGCTACAAATTCTGTATTGGATTCAAGGCTGGAAACTGTGATGGCCATTCCTGTTTATTGATATTGTTTTCAATAAGTCATTTTTTCGTAGATTTAGTCTTATGTTTGGTTTCATTTTCTTGGCGCAAAACTTATTCATTTGGGAATCCAAGCTTTACTAATGACCTAAACAAATTAATATCTTGGTATATTTTTGAGTTCATTTTGCCATTCATTATCTCTAAACTGCCCGTACCATTAGCAGAACAACATCCCCAAACCATGATACAAATTTCGCCGTTGGGATTGTGTTCTTCGATGCAAAGGCTATGCTGTCTTTTCTCCAAACGTGAGTCCTTGAATTACATCCAAATTGTTCAATTTTGCTTCATCTGTCCATAAAAAAACTTTCCCAAAATAATTCAGATTTATTCTTATACCCACGAACAAAGTTAACCTGGTATTTCTGTGTTTCTTCGATAATGGAGTTTTTTTTTGGGGGGAACACGATCTTCGCTGACTTCCATGAAGTTCATTGCTTATTGTTCTTTTTATAACAATAATACCTGATTCTTTTAATTCTTCCTGTATTTCTCTCCAAGTAATCATTGGATTTTCTTGAATTTTGTGCTGAATTTTTCTCATTGATCTGAGGGGAAATCTTGCGTGGTGCACCAGATCTCGATTTGTTTTCAATAGTTTTCATCTTTTTATACAAATGGAATGGGTGACGTGGCCGCAGGAATTACATCTGTACATCACCCAGCAATAACTGAATTACTAGTAGTAAATGGTGTACTCAGAATATCTCCTAATTTCCTAGAGCTTTTGCCTTCCTTCCAATGTTTGATGATCAATACTTTTTGCGAATTTAATAGTTTCTTGCCTTTCCCCATGAGGATAATTATTGTGGATGATTTGTGTGCGGGGATAACCTTATATAAGAAATCAATTGCGCAATGTTCTAGAATGTTCTG